GAAAAAACTTCCCAGGCAGATACACATCCTGCAAGGCGCAAAGGGTAACAGGAAGCCAAGGCCAGGTTCTAGATAAACAGCTTGCCCCACACAGCAACACCTGCGGGGCCAGACACCGCTGAAGACCACCAGACTTCGCCCAGCCCCAGAACAAAAGACTTCCTCCACTCCAGGACAAAACTTTCCACTCCTCCTGGCACTACCCCTCCCCTACCCAAACTCCCCTATAAAATTGCCCCTTGACCAAGTCCCCGGGTCAACAGCTTTGTTGCCCTTGATAGCCTGCACCCGGGCTGGAAATAAAACCTCGCTTGTTACTTCATTATTGCCTTTTCAGGTGGTCTCAGTCGTGCCTTGGTTTACCCTAACAATAAGAAATAATTCTTGAATTATTCTTGAATTGACAACAGGGATCACCTCAAATTAAAAAGCTTCTGCACGGCAAAGGAAGCCCGAGTGAAGAGACAACCTACAGAACGGAAAAAATTTTGCCAGCTACTCCTCAAAGGACTAGTATCTAAAATATATAAAGAACTAAGAAAATTAGACCCCCCCCCCAAATTTAAAGACCCGAGCAAAAAGTGGGTATCTGAAATGAATAGACACTTCTCAGATGAAAAAACACAAACGTATAAATACATGGAAAAATGTTCAACATCACTGGCCATCCAGGAAATGCAAATTAGAATAACACTGAGATTCCATCTCACTCCAGAAAGAATAGCCATAATTAAGAAATCAACTGATAAGAGGGCCAGGGATTTAGCTCAGTGGTTCGCCGCCTGCCTCACAAGTGCAAGGTCCCGAGTTTGATCCTGGTACCCCCCCCCCAAAAAAGGAAATCAATCACAAATCAACTGACAAAAAATGCTGGAGGGCTGGGGATGTAGCTTAGTGGTACCTCACCTGTTTGGCAAGTGCAAGGTCCTGAGTTCAATGCCTGGTACCGGTGTAGGGGGATGGGGGGAATGCTGGAGAGGCTACAGGAGAAAAGGATCCCTTCTTCATTGCTGGTGGGAATGTATGATGCAATCACTATGGAAATCAGCATGGAGATTCCTCAAAAAATAAAAGTAGATATTCCATTTGACTCAGGTATTCCCTTTCTAGATATCTTCCTGAAAGACTTAAAGACATCATACCATAGTGAGATATGCATACATGTGTTTATAGCAGCACGATTTTTACTAGCTAAATCTTGGAAGCATCCAATATGTCCATTGACATGAATGGACAAAGAAAATGTGGTATTTACACACAGTGGAGTACCACTCTGCCGTAAAGAAGGATAAATTTGAGTCATGTGCAGGAAAATGGATGCACCTTGAGACTATAACATTTAATGAAGTAAATCAGACATATAAGCTTAAATATCACATGGTGTCTCTTACATGAGAAACTCAAAATATAAAATATAAGTTAAAAACAGATCAAAGGAAAAAAGAAAAAAGTTATTATAATCCATCATGGACAATATATCTAAAAGTGTACCTTGATTTAGTATAGTAGTCTTTCTTATATGTTGTATATGTTTTCTGGCCTGTTAGTCTGGCTATTAATATGTATGTATAATTAACTTTATAAGGACTTCTAAGATAAATAAATGAATCTGATGCTGGCCAAATACAAAGGCAAGTGGAGGGGAGTGGGAAAAATAAAGAATTGAGTTGTGCCATGTATGTGTACCAATTCCATTATGTACTGCAAACATGTACTAATAAAAAAATTAAAAACCTATTTAAAAAGTAAATAAAATGGTACAGCCACTTTGGAAAACAGATTGGCTGTTCTTTAAAATGTTAAAGAGAATTATCATGTGACTGCAATTCCATATATATAATCCACATATAATCCATGTTTATAATTCATATAATTACATATACATGTAATTTATACACATATATATGAAACTGAAAACATGTCCATACAAAAACCTGTTCAGAATGTTCATAGCAGTATTATTTATAACAGACAAATATTGGAACCCCAAATGTCCATCAACTGATGAATGGATAAACAAAATGTGCTATATTCATGTAATGGAATATTTATTTAGACCTAAAAAGGAATGAAATACTTACATGTGCTACCGCATGGGTGAACCTTCAAAACATTATGCTTCCTTCACCACCCTTTCCCACCCTGCTTTGGAGTCACTGGACTATGAACTAAAACCTCTACAAACTGTGAGCCAAAACAAACCTTTCTTCTTTAAAAAAAAAAATTATGCTAAGTGGAAAACAACAGTCACAAAAGGCCACATATTGTTTGAATCCATTTATATGAAAAATGTGCAAAATAAGCAAATCCATAGAGACAAAAAGCAGATTAGCAGTTGCTAGGGATTTGGGAGCAGGAGCAGAATGAGGAATGACTGCCAATTGTTGCAGGGTTTCCTCTAGGAGTCATGAAAATGTTCTGCAACTAGTAGTGATAGTTGTACAACTCTGTGAATATACTAAAACCCACTAAATTTTATACCTTAAAGGGGAGGATTCTGTGGTGACACATCCCTATAATCATAGCACTTGGGAGGCTGAGATAGGAGGATCGCCATGAGTTCAAGGCCAGCCTGATCTACATAGAGTTCAAGGCCAGCCTGAACCACAGAATGAAATCCTGTCTCAAAAAACCAAAGTACCAAAGAACCAAAAAGGAGAATTTTAGGGTATATGAATTATATCTTGATAAAGCTGTTACTTTAAGAAATGCTTGGGCCCGGTATGCAGCTTAGTGGTAGAGCACTTGCCTAGCATGTGCCAAGCCCTGGATTTATCCACAGCACAGAAAAAAAGAAAAGTCCAAATGTTTAATTCTGTTATTGTATATATATATATTTTTTGGGTACCGGGGATCAAACTCAGGACCTTGCACTTTTGAGGCAGACTCAGTACCACTGAGCTAAATACCCGCCCCCTATGTATTCATTAAAAAAAAAAAATCTCCTGATTGTTGATTTTCAGAGGATACTGAGAGTCCAGTATTCCTCTTTGCTTAGCCAAAACCTACCTAGCCCTCAGAGCCCAGCTCAACCCTGCCTCTGCCATGCAGCAGCCTGCCCTAGCTTACCCTTCTAATACTAATCTCTCCTTTCTACATCTGCTCAGCATTAACTGTCATCTGCGTTCTTATGTGGGCACCAAATTGCAAGTGTAGGGGCAACAGTACTAGACTAGGAGCCAGAAAAATCAGGCCACACTAATCAACCTTATGACTTCAACAAAATAAGCTCTTGGGCCTCAGTTTCCTCATGTGCACAATGGATGTGAAAATTTCTACCCATCCTCTCTTTTAGTCTTACAGGAAGACAAGACAGTTCCTTTGTCAGATGCAAAGTGCCCCACAAAATGAATATCGTCAAAACCATCTGCTAATTTTCTTTATATGCAGAGCACTGGCTAAGTAGGATAAGATTATTATTGCCTTTGACATAAAAATTGAAGTTAAGAGAAAACTGGCTCCCAAGGCTAAGTGCTGAAGGCTTGTACGAATAGTAGCTGCTGGGGTGGAAGATGACTCCGGCCTGCTGGAGGAGAAAGCAAGACCTTGTCCTGGAGGAAGGGCAGGTTTAGCCTCAGTGGGTCAGAAAGGGTCAGGGCCCCAGTCAAGAAGCCTGAGCCAGTGTGACAGTGGGAAAGGCCAGGATGCCTGGAGGCTGAGTGTAGTTCATTAGGCTCTAAGGCAGCACTGGGGGAACATTTCTGCTCCGTGGGAAATGCCCATTCAACAGAGAGGTACAGAGAGGCTGGGGTGTAGCGCCGTGGTAGTACTTGCATAACATGTATACTTGCATAGCATAGCTCTCCGTTTGATCCCCAGCACCAGAAAAAAAAATATATATTATACATATATATAATATATATGAAACATTTTCTAATTTCCATTTCCTTTCCTTTCTTTCTCTCTCTCTCTCTCTCTCTTTCTGTACCAGGGATTGAACTTGGGACCTTGTGTTTTCGAGGCGGGCGGCAGCACCACTGAGCGAGATCCCCGGCCCCTAATTTCCGTTTTTTAATAGCTACATTACAAAAAATAAGAAACAGCTAAAATTCATTCAAATATACTTAGCGTAACATATCTAAAATAGTATATCAATATCAAAGTTATTAATAACATATTTTACCTTTTTTGTTGTTCTATTGTCTAAAAATCTGGTGTGTGCTTTACACGTCTCAATTCAGATACTAAATTTTCAAGAGTGAAACGTAGACCTACCCGAGCAGTAAGTTTGTGTTTATGTTTTACACTGCTTCCGTTTTAAAATTTGTATTAGTTAAAAGTAAGTAAAAATTGAAATTCGATTCTTCGGTGGCAGGGCCGCTGTCCTGTTCCCCAGCGCGCGTGAGACACTTTCGCGGCGTTCCCACCGGCTCCCCCACCCAGACCTCTCGGGCTCTGGGCTCAGCCCAAGGGCCTCCCCTTCTCCCCGGTTCTGGATGGCGAAGACCACGATGCTGTAGGCCCTGTAGACCCTAGAGGGCACCCTGCCACAGAAACCCGGAGTCTCAGCTTTGCAGAGTGCTTGGCCTCCCCTGGCCCAGCTGCCTGCACCTGGTGTGCCTGGGGTCTGGTAACTATTTCCAGGAGCCTAGAGAGGAAATCGACCCCAGATCCTACACTGACCGAGGTGCCTCCGACTGCTGAGCCACAGAGCCGCGTTCCGTGCTCTCAGAGGGCCTGAGAACGTCTCGGGGGATGGCCCCAGGTTAATTCTCCGAAGACTTCCTAGGCCGGGTCTCAGCCGGGTACAGTGCCCCGGGGCCGCAGCCAGGGAACGCGGGGAGCCCAGCTCGCCCGCAGCGACCTTCTGCGCGCGTCTGTGGGTGGCAGCGACAAAACAAACACCCCAGCGTGGCAGGACGAGGATGCTGTGTGGAAAGCAGGGGAGGCCGAGGGATGAGGGAGCTGAGGGGCGGCAGACTGCAGGCCGAGGGCAGCGCCGGGAAGGATGCAGAGAGCAGCGCGCCATCCCCTGGGCCCCGGCCTTTCCCGCTTCGCCCAACCGCGTCCCTGGGGCGTCGCTGGGCACTGCCGCTGCGCGAGGGAGAGGCCGCTGGGCGTCAGCGCCGGTCCTGCGCTCCGCACCTTTCGGTCCTGAGGAGCCGGTGGAACTGTTAGGACGTTGAAGACAGGCATTCTTTGTAAAATGTCTTCTTCAAGCCAGGCGCGGGGCGCATGCCTGGAAGCCCAGCGCTCTGGGAAGCCCAGCCTGGGTAATGCAGCAATATTAGCAAGACTCTGTCTCAAAATGAAAAATAAAATAAAGGCTGGGTAGGGCCCGGGGATTTAGCTCAGTGGTTCCTCCGCCTGCCTCGCAAGCGCAAAGTCCAGAGTTCGATCCCCGGTACCAAAAAATGGGGGGGGGGGGGTGTCTTCGTGCGTGTGTGTGTGTGTGTGTGTGTGTGTGTGTGTGTGTGAGATATCTAAGATATATATGTTATGAAGCATAATGGAAAGTGAAGACCCACAAACCCACTACCCAACATCACCCTGTGTCCGGTTAGCCCTTCCTTTTCCCATCTCCCACCCGACATGCACTCCACAACTGCCCTAAATGCTGTATTATTACTCTCATCTTTTTTTTTATTACTCTCTTATCTTTTAAAGACAGTTTCAGTAGTACTTTGTATGTCCATCTAACATCACACTTTAATTTCACTTGTTTCAGAACTTAAAAGGAATCTGTTATGTATGAACCCAAGAGAAATGAAATCCCATGCCAACGCAAAGACCTGCACACAATGCAGCTGTCAAAGTAGTTGAGAGGTGGAAACAACCCAGATGCCCATCAACTGGTGAATGGAAAAACAAAATGTGACATGTTCACGCAGTGAAATATTATTTGGTAATAAAAAAGAATGATGTTTCAATACAGCCTACGGTGTATATTGGGACTCAGAAAGCCTTACAAGCTGCCTCAAAATCAAGGTCCCTCAAACTTGGACTTGTTCCTCTGGCCCCAATTGCAGGGATCGCCTAAATCACCTTTCCTTGTTACCCTGATTCTCATTATCTACCTCAGAAAAGCATACTGAACAAAACAAAGCAAAACAAAACAAAAACAAAAGCATGATGCTAAGTGAGAGAAGCCAGACAAAAAAGACTAAACAAGCTGGCCTGGGGATGCAGGCCTGTGATCCCATCAGCATGGAGGCTGAGGCAGGAGGATCAAAATTCAAGTTCAGCCTGAGCAACTTAGTGACTCACTGAGACTCTATCTTAAAATAAAATATAAAAATGGGCTGAGGATGTAGCTCAGTGCAAAGGCCCTGGATTCAGTCCCTAGTACTGCCAAAAATAAAACTAAAAACACCCTGGGCTGGGGATTTAGCTCAGTGGCACAGCACCTGCCTGGCAAGAGCAAGGTCCTGAGTTCAATCCCTGGTACTGGAAAAAAAAACAACACTCCACAACATACATGGCGTATGATTACATTTATATAAAATGTCCAGAAAAGTAAACTATACAGATACAGGAAGTAGATAAGAGGTTGCTTGGAGCTGTGGGTGGGAATGAAGAATGACTTGGAACAGGCATGAGATTTATTTTGGGAGTGACAGAATTACTAAAATTAGATAGTGGTGAAAGTTGGTGATAGTTGCATAGCTATCTGGTAATTATTGAATCATACACTTAAAATGGGCAAAATTTACATAAATTATCTTCGAAGTTTTTTTGAAAAAAGGCATCATTTAGGATTTTCTGGTACTTTTTTCCTCTCACCATTATATATTTGAGGTTTTATTTTGCTATTGTACAGAGCTGTAGTTTACCTATTTTCACAACTCTGAAATGGTCTATCAAGTGATTTACCACAAATGTCTGTCTCCAGCCTCTTGTCACTCCACATTTGAGTCACTTCTTACTTTTCACTATTACAACACAATTTGCCAGAAACATTTTGTATATGTCTCTTGGTGTATACAATAATATGTCTGTTGATTAGAATAGCAAGATACCAGGCCTCTTTTTCATTTCTTTTTTGTCCTCTGCCCCTCCCCTTCCTATCCTTTAGTGACTGCTGCTCTACTCTCTTCTTTTATGAGATCCTCTTTTTTCCAGCTTTCACAATGAATGAGAACATACGGTATTGCCTTTCTGTGTCTGGCTTATTTCACTTAACATAATGATCTCTAGTTCATTCACTTTGCCACAAATGACAGGATTCC